GTGTGGTTGAAGTTGCGGCTGCAAGGTAGAGTGAAAAACTTGAAGATTAGATGCGGTTTTGTGAAGCGTTTTCCCTACAAAGGAATGCAACTACTTTTTAATGCTGTAAAATTGTTCTCTCGCAAATGGTATGTTGACTAAGAACTGTTAGGCATTCCTATCTAAAATTTTCAGTGATTTTTCTTCAGGAAAATTTTAGACAGACATTGCCGAGTCATATTCTGCCAAAGAAATTTATATGTTTGAGAGAATTTTACAAGCTTGGAACTGAATTACGTTTCTTTCTAAAGGAAATGGCGAAATTAACTATCTCATTTCTTTTTATTTGGTTTTCGTTTCTCACTCCGACAAAAGTACAACAAAATTAGTAGTTCAGAAAATTTGACTTTATCGAATTCAATTTTAAAATTCCCAAAAGTACATATTTACAAATCACTTATCAACTGGGAAAGGGCCCATCGAACTTCTTGATAATGGAGCATGGACTTTTTTAATGAGCTGATGTGCACCAAAAATAATACTTGCACATATATTTTAGACATTACTCTCGACCAATCCCCCTCCCTCACAGCTTTATACCTCCAAATTGGTTCTTTAGAACTCATCGTGCAGATGAAACCCCTCGAAGTTCAAACATTTGTCTCACTCACTCAGAAGTCACTTGACAACACCGACGCAAATGCCGAGTGCAATGATTTTCTGCTTATTCTCTTGCCTACGCGCATGAACTGTTCTTGACGGGAATTAGTCATTTTACGACGCATAATTTATTCATTAATTTATGAAAAATAAGCCGAGGGCTGACCATCAGTCTTGCCATGCTTACAACGACATGTCTCTCCCTCTTATCGGTTCGTATGGGTGAATTTAAAGCTCTGAACGCGAGATGGCACCACTGATGACCACCTCAGTAGAATCGCGGACTCAGTACGGCACTGCATGCTGAGGACCTGGAACTGGCAGGTCAGGTTAGGAGATGATAAACTGGCCCGATACTGCAGATCGAGCCATGGCTAAGCTGACGCCATGGGGATTCTCGCATGAGCCGCAGTTTAAGCCGAAGACTTAAGCAGGTTTGCCATCGTTTAAAACCACAAAAAAATATAACTAGTATATCTATAAGAAGTAAAACAAAAAATTAAAAAAAAATAATAGTTTCTTACTTTGTTCCGCCATGAATTCAGTACATTTATCTCTAAGTAATGATACGTGGCTTTGCATTTTGGCCACGTAGGCGGATCCAGACACTTCAAACGCGGAGGGTGGAAGGAAGGTCCAGGAAGCTTTCCCATGAACTTTTCGAAATTTTAAAGTATCTAATATGCAGTATGAGTCAATTTTGGCATGAATAATTACTAAATATAAGCGTTTCTCCTTCGTCTCTCCCTTTCTCTTTCTTTTTTTCCCTCCTTTTTTTCGGAAGAACGAGGGGGGAATACGCCCCCTACACCCCCTACTCCTTCCCCTTGAATCCGCCTGTGTTTGGTCATCGATTTTCTCTCCTTTTTTTACAACGGTGCAGAAAAAGTTCTAATTTCAGGAAACGCGACAAGAGAGCATGGAAAGTGCTCGCACAAGCTCGAAGCGAATCCGTGTTTGGTCACGGTCGTATGAACGTATTGCCGCTAAAAGGAACTACGTTAAACGCAAACCCTACGCACATAGTTCCTTTTAGCATAAATACGTCCGTATAACGCCATCGGTGACACTCGCAGCAGGCGAGGCGCGCTCGGCTGGTCAGCGGGTTGCATCACGGCGGCGTGCACGGCGCGACGCGGGGGAGCCAGCCGATTAAGACGGATCATTGGACGTCTCTATGCTTGAAGGAACTATGTGCGTGGAGTCTGCGTGGAGTCTGCGTGGAACTTAGTTCCTTTCAGCATAAAGACGTCGTATTAATCCAGCGCCGATTTTTCAAAAGCAACCGGTGACCCCGTCCGTGGCCTCGCGTAGGAGTCCGCGACTTCCCGCCGGGATCGGATCGCAGATCGCACTCCCCGTCCCTACGCGCCGTCGCCAAAATCGGCGGTCTCCGGAGTTGCCTCGTCTTGTAGATCGAGTCGTCGAATCGTGGGTTGGACCCAGTTTACTTTCACTGATAGATGTAAAATATCGATAGTGCGAAAGCGCGTACCTCCACTGAAGCCAACACTTTACAAGTGAACGTAGAATTCATGCATAAGGGTGGTTTCACGATAACTGGAATAGTTTTGTCGCCGTAACAGACAACATATTCCTCGGTCATATTTTTCGCAGTAATGATAATCACTCGAATTTTTATAATCTTCAAAGGATTACGTATTATAACGCATTCTAATTATTAATTGCTCTACTTCTCAATTAATAGTATGTAAATTACGAAAATGTAAAGTCTGTTACGCGGTAAAAAGTCAGCGTAACAGACAGCACATTTTCGGCTATTTATGTATTGAAATTGAAAAGTAGAGCGGTAAATCGTTGAACAGCGTTATAACACGTAAACTTGTGTAGATTAATGCAAAAAAATTCGAGTGATTATTATTACCACTAAAAGTATTACCGAAAAATGCGTTGTCTGATATGGCGACAAAACTATTCCAGTTATCGTGAAACCACCCCTAGTAGTTTGTATAAATTTCCAAGCTGTTCTCTCTAGGAATGACGTTCATTTTCCTAAAATCCCAATCTTTGAAAATAAGATTTTTCAAATTTTGTGACGTTTTTCGTCCTATCGTACATGTAAATATTATTGAAGGGGCTGAATTATTATATTATATTGTAACAGCAGACATCGAGCTCACTGCGACGTACAGTAGGACGAGTTTTCAGGAGATGTCGAAGCTTAAACTTTTGGACTAGAATTGTGGATTTTGATGTTAATTTCGTGACATACATTTTAAGGGATAGTTTGTGATGAAGGAAATTTCACAAGAAAACCAGTGAAACCATTACCACATCCTTAAGTTTTATATTACCAAAGATATAAGCTTTTGAAGTTTTTACATCTCCATGTCTATGAGGTTATAGTGGCGAGGCGTGAATGATCGAGTATCTATGTTTCCCAATTTGAAGCTATGGCAAATAATAGATTGTTAAGGTATCCGTTGCGAACACCCCGTTTATCGATCCTTTTCCATTGGTTTAGCTGGCAGATCAATCGATAATCGCAAAGCACGCCACGCCACTGATCATGTCCGACTTATTCTATTGACTCGCACTGCTGTGCGACACGCCTGGAAGCCCGATAAATGATGCAGAAACGGAGTAGACGTGTAAATGGCGGATAAATAATGTATGGAGTTTTAATTCCATCCTGAATCAAGCCGTCTCCACTTCAGGCTCGTTCGCTGTCGCCTTTGTTGGCTTGCACTCGCCTCCATCTACCATGTTGAGCAAAAACCGCCTATCTACGTAGCATTTCTTCAGGAATTATGAGATTCTTGCCTAGCAGGGTAGTGCTTGTTTCCACCTCGTCCGACCGGCTCCCGGTCGCTGATTGATCAGACTTTAATGGGCAACGACTTCATCCAAAGGTTTAATAGCCTTATCCCCTCTCCCATGCTAAGGAAAAACGCTATATGAGCCTTCAGATGTTGCCATATTTCCTTCAATAAACGTCAAATTTACCGGGACAATTTTGAATATTTTTTTTTTCAAATTTTTCAGATAATTTTGTTTGCGATTTAATCTAAAATATCTGAAAATCTCAAGGGAATTGGTACACAACTTTCCTTACAAATACATGTTTTATTCGAGGAAATTTAGCTACTCTCTAATGTTCATACGGTGTTCTTCCTTAGCAACGCAGTATTGAGGTTCGTACGACATCAATTCGAGAACCCGTGGTGAAATGATTAATACCGATGGGTAGGGAGCCGAGATACTGCCTTTTAAAAGTGTCTTTAATATATTACTACGTCTCTTCGAAATAATGTAGTATTGTCAAATGTTTATCCTAAGGATTGTGTTTACCCCAAAACACAATTATTACGCAGTGAATTCGAGAATAACCTTTAGCGGCAAGGAACAACGTTTGCTGTCAAGAATGGGAGTGAAAGACAAAACATCGGCTCCTTAAAAGAAAAGTTTAACTTTAATTCAGGAAATCGTAAGATTTTTGCTAGATTAATTTTCTATAAATAAAAAGAGTTTGATAGAGAGTCCCTCTTTGATTATTATTTACACTGTGAGATAGTTTTGCCTGCAGTTAATTGGAAAAAGAGTTAAAAAAAAGAGCACACAAAGACGTACAAACTGTACAACGAAACGCTGCATTGCTTTAAATTTTATTAAAATATTAGATACTAAACTTTTTTCAAAACTACTTCAAAAGTTCAACGTATTTTAGTCACCCTAGAGGAAAAAAAGAGGTTTCCCTTTTTCCCTTTCCTTTCCTTTTCCATTTGTGTTGTACTAAAATGACGAAAAAATACATTAAAAGAAGGGGGAAAACACAAAATTGGTGACAGGACAAGAGCGGGAGCGACCACATAATCCAACACTCCAATGAAACCTAGAAAAAAGTAAAAATTTGTGTTGGTGCGTTGTGGCGGAAGCAGATTCGACGCGACAAATTTCACGGTCAGATCCGGCCCTAGGTGGGGCCGATTGAGACCTCATATCGCGACAGATGTCTCAAAAATCCAGCTTGACTTTCCCAATCAGTCAATGCCGCTTTACCACCTCGGTTGTCAGATCATCAGAAAATGAATTAAATTCCCGATTTAAACCACACGAATTTACTTCTATTTGATTGTAACTTGACAAACGATTCCTAACCACCAAAGGTGGGCTTGCACTCAAATCACGCCTACCCTCCGGCTCCATTGGACGTATTCATGCTAAAAGGAACTATGTTACACGCAAAACCTATGCACATAGTTCCTTTTAGCATAAATACGTCCCATTGGTTCTGTGGAACAGTGCTCGATTTTTGTTTCGATAGTCACTTCTTCACGTCCATATCATGTGTTCCATCCGCACGGTCGAACTAACCTCAGTTTTTCGTTTGTCTGTTTCAGAGGCGGATACCAAATTTGGATTACGGAGTATACTTGTGTCATTCCCTCCCCGGAGCGTCGTCCCGCGTTTGCTAAACTTAGTTTATTTTTCTAAATTAATAAAAATCAAGTGTCCCGAATCACGACCGTGATCTGTGATCTGTGTGTGTGTGTGCCGCAGGAATAAAACCAGTGCGCGATGTGGCTCCCGAGTTTGCGGTCCGCGTAACCTGTGATAGCCGAGCTGGGTATGTCGAGCTAAGCTGAGTGTCCGAGAGTGGCCGCAATGAGTTCCTACTTCGCCAACGCGTACATGCCCGACATGCGCAACGGGGGCGTGGTCCCGCCGGAGCACCACCAGCACTACGGCGCCGCGGTGGTGCCCCAGGGCGGCGAGGACCCCAGCCAATGCGGCGTGCCCCCGCACCACTACGGCGGCCCGCCCGCCGCGGGGCAACCGCCCCAGGGCATGCCGTACCCCCGCTTCCCGCCGTACGACCGGATGGACATCCGCAACGCGGCCTACTACAACGCCCAGCAGCAGGGGATGGTGGACCCCGGGTACCGGCCCGACTCCCCCGGGATGGGCGGCGGGGGGATGGTGAACCAGAACGGGCACCAGACCCCGGTAGTCTACGCTAGTTGCAAGCTCCAGGCCGTCTCGAATAACGGCATGGTCGGGCCCGGGAGTCCGCCCGACCTGGAGATGAACTCGCACCACCCGCACCCCCACCCGCACCACATGAACCACCACCAGCACCACCAGACGAACCACCAGCCTCCGCCCAACCACCAGATGCACCAGCAACCGATCTCGGCGCAGGCCACGCTGCCGCCCAACCAGATGATGGGCTACCAGAACGGGCCGCACCAGCACCACCAGGCGGCCCCGCCGCAGCACGTAGTTAGTCAACAGCAGAGCCAGCCGCCTCCGCAGCAGCAGGCGCCGCCTCCCAACAACACCTCGTCGTCCCTGCCCAGCCCGCTCTATCCTTGGATGAGGAGTCAATTCGGTGAGTAAGCTCAAGCAGACTGCCATTCATACTAGAGTACAGTAGGGATTCTTGAAAGTTGGCAACACTGTTTTACAGCCATTTAAATCCATTGAAAATATCGATTTCAGGTATGGCACCTTGCCTCACCAAGAATCGATTGTTGTACATTTAAATGAAACAAAAACAGTGTTGCCAACTTTCAAGCGTCGCCTCTGCTAGAGTACATTCATGAATATGGAGTTCATTGAAGAACAAAAAATTAACATTGTTTTAACACGGCACATAATTGTGGCCAGGTATTGCGAACATTTTGGAGCTTTTTCAAACCCTTGAGACCCCCCGGAGGTAGAGGAGCCAGCCCCTCTCAAAAAAAAAATAACTTAGCTGAGCCAGTGGAGGTCGTCAAAACGATAAAAGGCAGGGATCACTCAGAGACTTTAACGCAGCGTAAGAAAAGTAGGCGTATTGACAAACGTGAGTTACTTACGCATGGCGACCTTATATTATTTAAAAATTTGCTCGTGTTGAAACAAGACAGAAATTGTTAGATCTTTAGCGGTACAGGTCATCGTCTCTCGGACGAAAGGACAGAACTCAATTCCATTGTTGCCAAATTTCTCCTCGCAAACTTTATATCAACCAGGAAAATCTTCGGCATTCCTCACTGGAAATTTCACTGGTTTTTCTTCAGATCTCATACAAAAATAAAAAAAAAATTTGAATACGAATTGTACATGTTTGTGAAAAATAATAACTGGTCGAGGAAATTTAGCAACCTTGGAATGGAGTTACGTCTTTTCGTCTGGAAGACGATGACATTTGATTTTTGCCTGTAACTTTGATCGGCGAATAATGCGATCTGCAATGAGTGCGACTTGTTGTGGCTGCGTGACAAATTTGTGGGGGAAGGGGAGGAGTTGTAAAAACTTTTCGGGGGGAAACTATCAATCACGTGAAAACAATGTTCGTGATCAAATTTTCAGATCTCATAAGGCAAGTTACTGTTTCGTGCACCACCAGGAAAGTTGCCAAATATGCCTGAGCACGGGCTAAAATAATAAGAAAAAAATCACCACTCGCCAAATGTCCTGAAGCAAATAGTCTGTGGCCTTAGTGGTCAGGAGTGGTTAGTGGCATTGGTGGGAGAAATTTGCGTCTTGCAATTGTATATCGTAGTTCTTCTACCTCGGGGTCGTCAATTAAAGATGGGTAAACTTTTTTCTGAATTCCAAGTATGGCTCACTAATGAGACGAACGCGGAAGAAATTAAGGAATTTAACTTAGTGCAACGTCATTGATTAATGACATCATACACTGTTTCTTCGTATGGCAATAGCTCCTTTCATAATGAAAATAGAAATTTGACGTTTAATCAAGCATCGTCGTGTTTTTTTAAGATTCGCCAAAATACGACTTGGTGACCATAAAAACCATTTCCTCCGTTCCTTGAAATATGGTACTCTCAATTTACTGGTTTAATATTGACAAAAGTGCCAAAAATTAAGTAAATACAATAGTTGTAATATTTTCTGACAGGAGATAACAACGTGTGGGGAACACAAATGCTGATTTTTAAGATGAATTTCGCTCTTGAATGCTTCTCAATTTTCCAAAACTGTGATTCGTTTATCGTCATTATGTTTTTTAATTTTTTTTAAAATTTTTTTATAAATTCAGTCCTAAATCTATCTTATTGCAAATTTACTAGCAATTAACAACCTCCAAGCGATTAACAGGAAAACATATAAGAATGTAAAAAATCAGGATCATATTTTAAAAATTATGAATGTCTTCATTCAAGCCAACGAACTGTTTGTGAAAAGCTTTTAATGGCTAAATCAGCCAACCAAGTTAAATATTTTTTTCTAAAGGCCGGCAAAATCCACACGCACTTCAAAGGTTGCGAGTTCCTCCACATCAAAAACCCAAAACGCCCTTCAAAAAAACACCAGGCACCGAAGCAAAAATCCGAGAACAATATTTTCGAAACAGAGACATCAAACAGGGCAGGTAACTGATGTCATAGAATAAATCATGACCTTTCATTAGTGCCCGAGAGCCCTGACCTCGGTCAAAAGCGCTTTTCGGATGGTGATTTCCTGAATAGCCGAGCCGGCATTTATTAATGTTCAACCCTTATCACATTTTTACCTGAGACATCTTAATCCAAGTCCATTGTCCACGGTGACATCATGACGGCTTCGCCTCCGTCTGGGGTCTTACGTAACAAATGGACCTAGAAAATCCGTCGTTTCGCTGTACTGTCGTGCTAAGGAAGAACGCCGTATGAACATTCGAGAGTTGCCAAATTTCCCCGGATAAAACATGTATTTTTGACGAAATGTATGCATATTTTTCCTTGACATTTTCAGATATTTAAGATTAAATTTCGAACAAAACAGTCTGAAAAATGGGAAGAAAAATACTAACAATTTCCCCAATAAATTCGTATTTTATCAGAGGTAATTTGGCAACGCCTGAAAGTTCATACGGCGTTTTTCCTTAGCACGGCAGTGTAGCCCGCTGCGTGGATTCTGCGGTGGCCACGCTTAGATCGGGCGAGTAGCCATACCATGCCGCGCTGACAGGTTGAATTTTCGAGGCTATCTTCTTATCCTTTCGTTTAAGTCTCTGAGAGAATCTTGAATCTTCTCAGCCCGAGGAGCAGCCGTTGATCATACATTGGTGTGGCGTGTTTTGCGATATATCGATGGATCTGAAATTTGATCCTATGAAAAAAGATCGATAAACCGGCTGTCCGCAACGAAGCCTAAAAAATCGATTATTTACCATGGCTCCAAATGGGGAAATATCGATAAGTGCCTTGCCACTGCATTACTTGTAATTTTAATCTGGAGTCTTTTCAGCTCTTGAATCCATTCTGTGAAGGTCATTTTTTATTTGTATCATTCGTTAGCGTGCTCGGGGTAGTACTGAAACGCCACAATTTTCTTCTCGAGGATTTTTAATTGAATTTCTTTGGATTCCCCTATTTGCAAGTTATGTTGATCCAGATCTTGACTGATTTAGAGTTTTCGATGCTATCTTCTTATTCTTTCGTTTAAGTCTCCAAGAGAATCTTGAATGGACCACTGGACAAGGTACGAAGTTAAGCATTCTGATACATGTTCCTTGACCAAAATTTCACGCACAATATGATTCTTGCATCGAAAATTACTGAAATCAATTCCTAACTAAGATATTTAATGTTTTCTGACGCGTGAATCTCTCTTCTGGGACATAACTTTTCCCCACGATACGTTTCTTGGCTTTACTGAAATAAGAGTGAGATTCCACCATGGAGAGATTGACGCTGAAGGCAGAGAGCCTAAAGAGATAATTCGGAATATTCATCCCCAAGCAGCTGCTACGATGCACTTTCACTCAAGGATGTCGTAGATGGAAACAAAAGACTTTCCTCCGCTGATTTCCTGGTGGGTGACTCCCAGGGAGTGTCTCTCAATAGGTTGACAATTGCGTCACTGTTGCATCAGTCTTTCCGATACTGCCTTTTCATTCCGCATCGAGATTAGCCTTTTGTCGAGGGTGACACACGCTCAAACAAAAGGTTGACCTGATTTCTTCTCGTCTGCTCCTATTGTTTTGCCCCTGCACCTATCTGCATTCCTTTTTTTACGTTTTTACTTCCTTACCTTTTTTGTCACGTCAGCCGTTTCGCCGACACGGATTTTGAATGCCTCCGCGGGTTTCCTGGATTTAGGTTTTTTTACTTTCCCATCATATTGTTCCCTGCATCTCATCGAAGAGAGCCTCTAGGCGTGTTCCTTCTGAGCTCGTCTCGGTCAGTTTCACGCGAATATCCGTCGGAGCATCGTTCTGTTTGTGATTCTGGAGAGGCACTCCACGCTGTAAGTTAGTTTTTCTGTAAACTTTTAGAAAAAAATACTCAGTGGTTTGTTGGTTCCATTTCATAACTTACTTTTGAAAGGTTCACCGGAAAAAAAAACACATTGGATTTTGAATCCAGACTCTTAAAAACATCGATACAGATTTTTGCTTAAATCAAGAACCAAGCCTCTTAATTTGAGCGGATTTTCTTTTGATTTAAGCTTAAATCTGATTGAATCAAGAGTCCCTTTTCTTGTCAATGTTTTTAAGAGTCTGGACTCTAGATCCAATGTGTTTTTTTTTCCAGTGTTAGAGATAAAGTTATAAAATGTTGGGCTCAAAACCTATAGAATTAAAAACTTCAAACTTCATTCAAGTAACTTATTTATCAATATTTCGTCGTTTCCTGGACGAAGGAACGTAATTCCATTCCAAGGTTGCAAAATTGGCTCAAATAATCCAACATTTTACAAAAATGTACCTGTGCAATTTATGTTAAAAATTGCTTAATTTTTGCACGAGGTCAATGGAGAAATCGGTCAAATTTGTAATTTGCAATTCCCAAAATCCTCCCGGTTGAAGTGCGGTTTGCGCGGGAAAATTTGACAACATTGGAATGTAGTTAAGTTCCTTCGTGAGGGGAACGACTATTTATTCTTTATTACAGTTAAATGAATTCTTATGACATAAATTAATGATTGAAAGAAAGAGATTTTGTATGAGGTAAAATCTTGCCGTAGCTTTTACTATTAACTATCCCCATAAAGGAACTCTACAGCTAACCACGCGGAATTCACCCACCGCGGTGTGCCAAAAGCACACGCCTTCACGGTCAAAACCAACCGGACTCATCCCCGATTCATAAATCGCGCAACGGTGGAGCTATACGCATGTTTCAATGAGTTATTATACAAGCGGTCACATGTACTTTACGCTTTGAGTTAAGAGCAATAAAGAAGTGCTACTTGTTGAGTACGGACGATTTATGGCCGAGAGTAAGTGTGCCGCTGAAGCCGGCGCATTCGCGGTCTTCCCCCCCCCCTCTCCCCCCCCTCTCCCCCGCCTCGGCCGCGTCTGCGAAATAAGGGGCCGCGAGAGGGGGGGACGGGGGTGCAGTGCAGTGCACTCCTCGTTTTTCGTTGCCGCGCTGCGCGGCTTTCGATTCGTAA